CGAATCTGGCCTTCTGAGGACGCGTCCTAGGTTTTCGAACAGAGCACCTAACTTCACATGATGCTCCACTTTCCTCATTTTAGGGAAGAAATGGCTTCTTGGAAGAGTTGACATAAAATAATAAAAAAAATTCTCTAGCCTGGCCCTAGTACTCTGTCTAAATAAAGCAGGTTGAACCTGGTTTAATATATATTTATATCCTTTGATTTATGTTTTACAATTAAACGTGTTTCTGTATAAATTTCATAAATGATTTCTGTTAAAATCAAGTGATCATTAAGTTAGAAATCCTAAATAATTAGACATAGATACAAACTCAGACTGTTTCTTGTTAACATCAGAAAGTGCTGATCTGAAAATGTTGAAGTGGTGAAAAAAAAATGAATTTTATTGAATCTGCACTTTAGGAAAAGTGAGAAGTGGCAGAGCGGTTTTTATTTTCATCAAAGGCTGCAGAAACCCGACGGCCTCAGCAGGAGTTAGAGCTGAGCAGCAAACGAAGGCGTCATCTGCGTAGAGGGAGAACTGGAATTTGGAGGATCCTGTCTTCTATGGAAATTGTGAATAATATTGTACCTTGGTCTGTGATATTTATGAAGCCCCTTTTAGTGTCACAAACAACTGTAGAAAAACATTAAGATATATAGAAAAAATAAAGAAATATTACTAAATAATCATTAGTATTAAAGACAATAAGCTTCTTCAGACGGTGTCGATGCTCAATGTCTTTCTATGTTTCTTTAATGAGACCAAATTTTAAACATTTATCGACTTTATTTGCAGAAATTGGATGGAAGGAGCAGAAACATGAGGAATTTTCACAGAATGATGTTGAATTGGCTTTTTTTAAACGTCTGTGGTTAAGTAGAGATTTTTACTGGTTGTTTCCTTATTTGTCTCTTGTTTTGTTCATGTTTCCTCATTGGTTATGGAAATGGCCGCTTTGATGGGTTTTACTGACGGAGCAAATTTTCCATACAGGGACGATTAGGTTTTCTGTTCATGTCAACATCAGGACATCTGTCTGTTAAGCTACAGCACACCGACAATCGTTGATCACTAGGACCAAGCGGTAAACTGAGTTTAGCCCGCCCACAAGCTGATTGGCCCTTCGTCTTTTCTTGTGTGATTGGCTATCACCGCTGTCACTCTTAGAAGCTCACTTTATGCGCCTCTGAATCCGGTCTGTGA